TCTTGCTTGCTTCTCACGAGAATAATCTTGACACAATCTACACACACACCGTATCGTTTATTAATTTCCGCTGTGCACCATACTCTAACAATCTAATTAAGAGTTTTGGTTTATCTCTGGCTTAGCAATTGTTGTACTGTGCTAAAAAGTTTGAAAGTCTATTCACCCCCCCCCCCCCCTCTCTAGACTTTCACCTTACCTCTTTTGGGACCAACACACTCGTAGTTGCTAAGTGTAGCTATGTGCAAGACACTTAGTTGGCGTTGAGTATAGCTGTGTGCAAAATAATCGGAGTTGAGTGTAGCTGTGTGCGAGACACTCGGAGTTGGGTGTAGCTGTGTGCAAGACATCCAGAAGAAGTGCTTGTGTAGCGCTTATTCACTATTGTAACTGTGTGTGGAAAATAGTGAATTACTCCTAGAAGTGAATGGAGTAAAGTGGACTAGGAAGATTACGCCACTTCCGAACCACTATAAATTGCCTCTCTCATTTACATACCGCACTTACATAATTTGCTCTATTTATCTATCTTATCCGACTAACCCGTTTACTATTCACAGTTAATCTTAATCATTCGGGTTTAGTGTGTTTTCACGTATGCATGTGACTCAAACTTCTCGAGCTTAAATATTGAATTATTCTAAGCAAGTTTGACGTGTTGCATGTAACGTTCGTCACACGGTTGACGTGACACGATATTTATATACAATCTTGAATATTATTGTTATATATATTGAGTGAACCATATCCTTTATATATTCAAGATATCTCTGTCACTTTACATATCATCTGTACCCATCTTACATGCACATTTAAATTATTGGTTGGGCATAACTCTTTACATACTATTATTCCGCTGTGCAGTTTTAAACTTACTCTATTTACTTGTTACTTAGAGTTGAAGTTACCAAAGAGTTATTTATTTTGAAAAAGCTTGACTTTCACCACCCTATCGGGACCAACAACGCAATATTTTTAAGGAGCAAGAGAGGAAGAGTAAAAAGAATAGTGAAAATAAGCTGTTGAAAGAAACTTATTGGTTGGTAAACGGTTGTTTTTTTTTTTTGGTGTAACCAGAGTTTCCACCGTCGAATACAGTGACTAATTCTCTTGTTGAATTGTAGGCACCTTTTTGGGTGGGACAACTGACTTAAAGAGTTAAGGTTGCTCCATACCCAAAGCCAAGGATCGAACCTTGACCTTTAGTTAAGGATGGATGAGTCCCTTCCACGTACTCAACCACACCCCAATATGCAAATGGTTGAGTATTGCTAAGAAATAGGATAGACAAAAAATTACTAAAAGTTAAAAATTCCTCAAGCAAATAAATTTATGGTTAAACATTACCAACCAATTAAATATAAGTTTAAAAAATTCTCTTTTATTATAAATATAAATACAATAGATATATGTACTAAATTAAAATTGTTCTAAAGTTAAATTGAGTGCAAAATTAAATTCACCTGAACTGTTTCAGAAATAGGTGCAACCATTGACTGGTTAACCTTTGACCCGATTCTTGACCCGAACCATTTGACCCAACCCAAATAGGAGCACGGAGCGTACGGGGAGCCTGAACTCGGGGTATATTCCCCATCAAGAAGCCCCCCCTCCCCAGTCCGTGCCCTAACGATGAGTTAATGAGGAAGGGTTTGCGCTGGAAACTCTGACTATACTATCCGTGACACGCTGTTTGCCTCGTTAAAAACCTTAAGCTAATAAAAAATCAGTGGGAAAAAATTTTAGCTAAGGAAAAAAGAACACAACTTTAAGCGCAGTCTGGTGGACCAAAAAAATGGGGTCGCCCGACCTAGGGGTCGGTTTTGCAACACGATTTGCAGAGGTCGAGATCTACAAACCTGGCGATCGGGATGCTAGCTAAGATCGGGAGATTGGGCTAATTACGATCTAGAGGTATACTTTACCGGTCTACCGACTAGTTTGCTAGGTACGACTGGGAGGTCAAATTAATTGCGGTCGGGAGATCTAACTTTGCTAATCACGGGATTGGATTTTCAATGAGGTCTAGCGATCAAGGCTTACCAATCAAGAGATTGGATTTTATTCATGATTTAGGGACCTCGACCGATCATGTTGATCACAAACGGGAGCACTTTTCTAAAGGCCTTTCACTCGGGCTGACCGATAGTAGCTTAGGGCACGGACTGAGGGGGGCTTCTTGATGGGGAATATATCCCGGATTCAGGCTCCCCGTATGGTCTGTGCTCCTATTTGGGTTGGGCCAAACGGTTCGAGTCAAGAATCGGGTCAAAGGTTAACCAGTCAATAGTTGCACTTATTTAAGAGAACCTAGCCCGACTTTGGGTTCCTCCCCTTCCTCCTTACACTCCCTCTCTCTAGAACATACAACTCTCTACCTTCTCTCTAAACATGCAAGAATTACATTGAATAAAAGAGTATTTCAGCTATTTTCTCTTGTCTACCCTATTGTTTATACATACACTATACACTCTATATACAACCGGGAATTAACCGTATCAGTTTTTCTTACAGGGGACTCAGCGGCATGGTGGAGCCCTTCTCCGGCGATAGCGATCCGGGACCACGTACTCAAGCTGCTCCTCTCGCAAATGGCGTGCATGTCTTCTTTCTCATACTGATAGTATCATCGGATCCATAAAGCTACAATAAACACATAAAATATACCAACAAGCAAAGTGGTGCACTGGTTGGGGCATTGGCCTTGTAGTTTGAGCACCTGGGTTTGAACTCCTCTCCATTTCCAGAACTCTGTAAATGAAACCATAGTGTACTCCCAAGGGATCTTTTATTCATGGGTGTTCTAGTATGTTGTCTAGTACATATTCTAGAAAGAAGGAAGAGAGTTCTCATTGAGAAAGAGGGAGGAGGGAGGAAGAACCAAAAGTCCCCTCACCAAAGGGCTAGGTGCCCTTAAATAGGTGCAACCATTGATTGGCTGATCTTTGACCCGAACCGTTTGATCCAACCCAAATAGGAGCACGAAGTGTACGGGGAGCCTAAACCCGGGGTATATTCCCATCAGTATGTTGCACTAGTTACCAAAAGACCCGACCTTTAATTAAGAAAATGGTCAAAGGGTCGAGAAACTCAACGCCACTATCACTATTTTTTAACAACTTGGAGCCAGTCCTTCCTTATGGACTATTACGGATATGAAAATAATGGTCAAAATCATATTCAATTGTCAACTGCCCTTATCAAAAATAGGATTGACTACCGGTTCCGAACCAAAGGAACTAGAGTTACATCTCTTTTACACTCAAGAGTTCTTATGTGTTTCCACGGCCCTTTGAGACCCCGAAAAATGGACAAATTCCTTTTCTTAGGAACACATACAAGATTCGCCACTACAAAAAGGTCTTCAGGACCCCATCTTCATGATTGATTCAAATTCCACACACAAAACATCTTTCCAAAAATAAGTGTAGAAAGATATTTTGTGAATAAATCTTCTAGATTGTCACTAGAGTAAATATCTTGACTCTTCTGTAGCTCATGTAGGATGAATTTTGACACTATATATGTTTTTTCAACTATTCATAAACATACCCATTTATCATTTTTGTAACACAAGTTTTATTGTCCTCATATAGGACAGTGCGGTAAAAACAAAACATAACCAGTTTAGGATTTGACATCATGGGGATCAAATAAAATAGACAGTACCCAAGTAGCCCATTAAAACCATATATTGATTTCTCACATAAATGTCAAAATTTGTACATCGAAGATACTGAAGGATATGTTGAACATTATTCCAATATTTCATTGTAGGAGGAGCACTAAACGTTGCTAGCAATTTCATCACAAATACAATATATATATATATATATATATATATATATATATATATATATATATATATATATATATATATATATATATATATATATATATATATATATATATATATATAAGTAGGTTCTGGTGCGGTTGTGCAGTGAAAGGAGAACCATTGATTTTGCTTAAATCAACGTTTAGTTTATCAAAATTAAATAAAAAACGCGGTGACATTTTGGTAATTTTTTACATTTAGGTCAAACCTAAGGTGTATGATTTTTGTGAGTAAGGTGTGTGAGTAAAGTGCGTGCACCACATGATTTAAAAGACCATAGAAATAGGGTCTAAACAAGCTTGGATGTTTGAACGAGTTTCACCCTTCCTGAACTGCATCTTAACGCTGATCCATACTGAGGGTACTGTTACTGTGTTACAGAACCTGAACTAGATCCAGAGCCTAGTCACTATCATATTTTGACAACTAATTATGCCAACTAAAGTGGATTTTAATGTGTAATATTTTTACACTTACATAAAGCATCCACCATCGGAGCTATTAGAGAATTGAATTCATTCAGTTGCGATAGAATTGAAAATAAAAAGTATATTTGTAACTAAACACTAAGTCTAGCATCACATAATTACAAACATATAATATAACACAATAATAATAATAATAATAATAATAATAATAATAATAATAATAATAATAATAATAATAATAATAATAATAATAATAATAATAATAGTAATAATAGTAATAATAGTAATAAGTACTAATAGTACTAATAGTAATAATCGTAGTAATAATAATAATAATAATAATAATAATAATAATAATAATAATAATAATAATAATAATAGTAATAATAATAATAATAACAATAATAACAATAATAACAATAATAATAATAATAATAATAATAATAATAATAATAATACTAACACACCCCCTCAAGCACAAGGGTGGTGAGCCACAACATTGAGCTTGTCCCGTAGAGTAGCAAACCGCGGTGATGGCAGAGGTTTGGTGAAGGTTCTGCGAGCTGATCCGTAGTAGAAACATAGTTGACCACGAAGTCCCCAGATGCGACCTTGTCATGGACGAAGTGATAGTCAATCTCCACATGTTTCGTGCGTGCATGGAAGACCGGGTTGGCACAGAGGTATGTTGCCTCGAGATTATCACACCATAACGTTGCTGGCTGGCCGGAGTGCTACCCAAGCTCCCGGAGTAGAGACACAACCCAGGTAACTTTAGCGGACACATCAGCTAGGGCTTTATACTCCGCCTCTGTGGATGAGCGTGCAACGGTACGTTGTTTCTTGGAGAGCCAGGAGATGAGATTAGTCCCTAGGTACACAGCAAACCCACTTGTACTCTTTCGATCAATGGGGAACCCAGCCCAGTCGGAATCCGAGTATGCATGAATGCTAGTAGAGGACGACGGTGATAGCCATAACCCGTAGTCAAGAGTCCCCTTGATGTAGCGCAATACTCTTTTAACAAGACCCCAGTGTTCAGTAGTTACCGAGTGCATGAACTGACATAGGCGGTTGACAGCATACGCAAGATCCAGCCGAGTGATAGTCAGATACTGTAAGGCACCAACCATACGATGGTACTGGGTTGGATTCTCATACGGCACGTCAGCCGGGACAACCGCTTTCGTGACAACCGCTAGTGTAGCAAGATGCTTACATTCAGCCATTCCAGACCGCCCTAGGAGATCAGTCATATAGCGACGCTGTGAGAGAAGAAGCCTGGTGTTCCAAGGTCCCGAAGCAGTTGCCAGGCGGCCCAACAGAGCAGTAACCAGAGTTGCATCATTCCCCATCATGATAATGTCGTCGACGTAGACAAGAAGAAACACACGAGAGGTCCAAGCAGTGTAGTAGAATAGAGAGACGTCTATTTTTGATGAGTTGAACCCTGCAGATAATAAAAAATCATGAAGTCTCTTGAACCAGGCCCGTGGTGCTTGTTTCAAGCCATATAGGGAATGCTGAAGATGACAGACATGCCCGGGATTAGTCGGATCTTCGTACCCCGGTGGTTGTTTCATGTACACAGTTTCTAACAGGTGACCGTTTAGAAAAACATTATGAACGTCCAACTGGCGTAGAGTCCAACTATTGGACACAGCAAGAGAAAATAGCATACGCACTTTGGTCGGTTTGACCACAGGGCTGAAAGTATCAAAGAAATCTTCGCCCGCTTCCTGATTGAACCCTTTGGCTAAGAGGTGCGCTTTGTAACATGTGCTGGGCAGAACCTAATAGCATAATGCAGGAATTCCTCATACATTGCCGCCCTAACATGTGCTGGGTAGAACCTCTCCCGCATCCGATCCTTCAAGGTAGTCCAATCAAAGCCAGGCTCCTCGAGGCAAGCTGGGCCCTCGTGCACCCACCACAAGTCGGCCTCGTGGCTGAAGTAGAACGTTGCAAGCTCCAAGAGACGCTGCTCTGGGCACCCAACAACAGAGAAGATCTTGTCAAACGTCCTTACCCACTCTTCGAGAACGACGGGGTCTTCCTCGCCCGCGAACGTCGGAGGTCTATGGCTTGACACAAGGCGCCCTATATCCCTATGCCCGGCAGGCTGCGGAGGTGGCACGGGGTGGTTGTTGTTCATCAACGCCTCGCTAAGAGTCTGCATAGTCTGTGTAAGCTGGTGCAGATTTTGGGCAAGCTGTTCTTTCGTCGGGGTCTCTAGTGTGCGTGCACGCTGACAGGGAGGCATCGCGAAACTTCTACACCAACAACAAGCAAGCAAACAACTGAAAACAACACAGAGCTCACCGCGCGTCCTAAGAGTCCTAAGTCCAACTCTTAGATTCTTACGGTCGTCTTAGGGTCTCAAATCACACTTAACCACTTAGAAGTCTAGATTCTATCATCCTAGGCTCAAACCTAGGCTCTGATACCAACTGTAACACCCCCGATTTCCATACCAATTTAAAACATAAACATGCAGATAATCTAACTATCATAAGTACACAACGGAAGTCTAACTATATAACAAATGGAAAACGTAGAGTGTTATGCCACGTCCACGCAAGGTGAACGCACAGGCGTAAACAACATTATCATAAACAGTCCACAAAGGACAAGGTCAAACAAACCATAAGTCTAAAATCCAACATAGAAGGCACACAGGCCAAAACAAAATACAAGGTCTGAGGGATCTACTCTATCCATCACTAGATCGCGCTCGCCTCTACACGGGACCTGAAAGAAACACAGATAAATATATGGGACGACGCCCGGTCAGCAAATAATGCTGGTAACCCAACAATACATGTTAAGTATCATACATAGATAGTACATACAAAATCATTTCGAAACGGAATACTATATATAGATAAGTTTAAAACCAAGGATAGAAGTCAACCACAAGACGGTATACCACTCTCAACAAGAAGTAGGGGAACACATCCCAAGACAACAAGAAGTAAGCAACGACAACACCAGTAAGGCTCAAAGTGTATTCTACCATCACTCAGCAGAATATCACTCGACATGCATAACACAAGAGAATAAGAGACACACCCTGCAACACATGCCTTCGTGACATCACACATCACGAATAGAGAATCACACAACGGCACACATGCCTTCGTGACATCACACATCACGAAACAATATTCCTTCCTTATGCCCGGTTCCAACCTTATGGCTACCCCCAACCTTATAGCTAGTTCCAACCATTACCTCCAGGACCCCTGTACATCCAAGTCCAACCTTGTAACACCCCAGATTTTCAAGACTTTTTAAAACTTATAATAAAGGTAGAATCTCATTAAATCCCAAGAAATAAATACAAGCGTACGAGGTGCTATGCCACACCTGGGCTAGAGAACCCAAGTGCACAGGCTAACTAACTAATATCCTCAAAGCGTAATTACGTAAACGTGGCACGCAGGCCAAAAGGGAAAACTATCTACTTCTATACTCCAAGTTCTAGCGCGCTCCAGTGACTTAATCTTCTGTGCCTGAAAGCCAAATATATCTGTTCAGCGAGAGATGCTGGTAACCCACTCCAACGCGTTGAAATACAATACATATAGAGATATATATAGATATACGAAAACCATTTTGAGCATGAAGATATATCCTACGAACTCTAGCTTTAAAAACCGGGAATGACTCGACAAATAAGGCCAGACACAAGCAACAGTTATAACGAGCATATGCAGTTCACAACAGATAAGGCAGATAAGGCAAAGCATAAACAATGATCATAACCCAACATGAACAATCCCCAATATAAATCCCATAGTCACATCCCCCAAGACACTCGTAATCACAACTCGTCCATGTCACAACACATAACACACTTTGTTGGCGCCACAGGACCAATCGCATGCCCATACATGAGGGTCAGCGCATATAGCTCTGACACGGCCCCGCAGCACCCTGCCCCGTATCGCAACACGGAGGGGTCGATCGCAACCGACCGATGAACCGCAGCTCATCATAGTGTTTGATCGCAACCAAACAGTGGACCGCAGCCCAAGAGAATGTCATCTGACCGCAGCCAGGAAAAAGGACGAACCGCAGCTCGTATAGAAACGTTTGATCGCAACCAAACGGTGGACCGCAGCCCAAGAGTATCAATCTGACCGCAGCCAGCTTCTGAACTGCAGCTCAGGATAACCAATCCGATCGCAACCGAATTGGGGTAACACACACATAACACGTAGCAAGCACATGCAACCCACATTACACATTGGGAAGGGGGAGAAAACGTATAACAAAACCTATGCGTGACCCATCACATACTAAGAATAGTCCTAAGGGGTTCATACTCCTTCCACCTAGGTCAACGGGATACCAATTCAACTAGCATGCAATATAATAGACTCATAAACCTACGAATGGTACCCGAAACATCAAACTAGACATAGGCACGATAAACGGAGTCCGTTGGGACACCACGGGGAACAGGGGAACATCAAACGGGGAAGCCGGGAACCCAAGGTGGGGGAAATTCCAGCGGGTAGCCAGTGGGTGGGGGCCACCCGCCGGAAAGTACTGTTCCGGGCAGCGGGTCGCCGGCGGGCAGCTGCCCGCCTGCCGGCTACCCGCTGTCGGGCGGTGTTTCACGGCCGTGGGTAGGTGGCGGGTCCCCTACCCCCCCACCTACCCCACACTAGCTCTTTTCATCACTTTTGCGCCCCGGGAACCATTGTGGAACCCGAAACCATGCTTAGACACCTTACAACGCAATTAACGACAACACGTAGACAATTAACGGATCAAATACGAGAAACGAATGGCACATAACCTATCATGCTTTTCTAGACATAATCAACACCCAAACATGCGATTTCCCCACCCCACAATCCAAGAATCATAACATACGATACAACCTAGGGTTCTAATCACTTTTATATCAACAAGGATACGATTCGTCTTCTAATTGCAAGATTCGGTAAGAATAACACATAACCATCAAGAGCATCACACAATTATCAAGAACGACACATAATCATCAAGAACTCCATATAATCATCAAGAACTCCATAATTATCAAGAATCTCCCAATATCAAGATTATCAAGATCCCTCATGGGATCATCACATCAGACATCAATAATCATCATCATATCTCGCCAATCACAATAATATGGGGGAAACCCTAAGGGGGAATCATAGCTATGAAAATAGGTTTTGTTGAGACATGGGTTACCTCTTAGCCTTAATTAATTCCTTGGCTATGAAGGATCTTTCTTTAAGCTTTCTTGATTTCTTGATTTCTCCTAGGGGAATTCTTGGAGCTCTTTGGGTGGTGAGAGATTATTGTGGTGGGGATTCTAGGTGCCTCCTAAGTTCCCTATTTATAGATCTAGGGATCTTATTTAGAGTCCAATCCTATTGGGATTAGAGGTTGGGTTTAGATATGAGGGCCCACGGACTATGGTGGGCCTTTTTCCCTAATTAATCATTATAATTTATTCTTTCTCTTGGGCTATTGATTAATTAACTAATTGGTTTTAGGGGCCGTAACACGGGGTGTTTCAAACCTTTTCCCTCCTGTGACCGTCGTCCCCCACCAACGATTCTACCAATTCATAGTACACGAGGGTACCGGTCACACACATGGCAACACATGCCTCCCAAGAAATACGTGAACCCATCACTCGGGTCACAAACTCCATAATCGCATCATAGCCACCACGAGGACCACTACCGTACCTTGGTGACTAATGTCCCATACCATTAATCCTGCAATCCAGGTACAGCCACACACACAACACCATCATAGGAATCAATCAACGGATCACAACGAAGATATGAAACCATACTCAATCAAGGAAAGGATCACAATCCGACAGCAACGATGATTAACACCAGTCATCATCCACAACAGGAAAGGACAAACCACACATGCTAGCATTTACACACTGAACTAGCATGCTTATCAAACGGGTAAACAAAACATGGTTCCGAAGAACACGCAAGACTCATCAAGGTTCAACGAATCACAAGGTTGAACACTTAGCACGATTCAAGACACCAAAACCTACATGGATTCCGACCATATAGTTCTAGACATACGAAACATCAAGAAGACACTCAAATAGTTCCACAAAAGAACATCGGGAAGTCAAAAAACCAAATACCGAGTCAAAAGAATCACGGGGAACAAATCCCCAACAAGCCACATATATATACCCCGCGGATGGGGCCACGGGTGGACCCCCACCCATGGTTCCACCCGCGGGAACCACTTTCCCACGAGGTGTGTACCCCGCGGGTGGGGCGGCGGGTATGCCACTGTCCGCCGTTCCGCCCGCGGGTACAACTCCTGTACCAAAAATATCCCTTCGATGATTTTCAACTCCAAGCTCAAATTCAAGTCCAAAACATGCCAAATCTCACCAAATACAACAAAATGACATGAATCAAAGGAATAGCCAAGCAATGGAATACATGAACCCTAATAACAAGCTCTAGATATGCATTTTCTCAAGACAATGCATCAACACTCACATTGCATAGCAAAATCATATGTAGAATCCAATAAATCATCATATAGGTAAGCAAAATAGATTTTGTAGAGCATGGGTTACCTCTTGTACACAAAAACCTTCACTTAACACTTCTCAAAGCCCCTAACAAGGTTCACCTTCCACACCAACTTCAAGAACACA